CAGCTGCAAACAGGACCTACAACAGCAATGTGAAAGGCAGTGAGAGCATGAGAGCTTTCCTGCTCATGAACGAGGTCAAATGTGAAGTGGAAAAAAACTTAAATAGCCATGCTTAGCTCTGCTCTCGGAGGTCATTGTCAACTTAGTATACAGGGTCCAGGAGTGTCAAGTACCTTGCTAGCTTTCATTATATACCAGGGATCATACACAATGTTCTTTGACAGACAGAAAAACCAGGGCCAAGGAAAATCAAGACGATCCCTAAACATGCATCAGAAGAAGGCAGAATGGTAAATGCTTTACACAGAAAAACGTGTGCATGTCTGTGCGTGTGTGCATGTCTGTGCGTGTGCATGTCTGTGCGTGTGCATGTCTGTGCATGTGCATGTCTGTGTGTGTGCATGTCTGTGCGTGTGCATGTCTGTGTGTGTGCATGTCTGTGCATGTGTGCATGTCTGTGCATGTGCATGTCTCTGTGTGTGCATGTCTGTGCGTGTGCATGTCTGTGCGTGTGCATATGCACAACAAACAACTGAGGTCAAGTGAGCGGAAAACAGGGTGGAGGTGGAAGGCCTTCTGTGACACTCAAGGACACGTGGTCAGTAGAACAGCAAATGTTTCCGGCCACGTGCTACGAAGAGCAAATGCGCTGTTGTGGTGGGGTCTAACCTGTGACCTGTCAGCAACTCTCTAGATGAGAAGTGTGGTACAGACAACCCGACAAAGCACACTTGAAGATGAGCCTGTGACAGGAGAGTCGTCATCTTTAGGAAGCCAAGCAGCCAGGACAACATTTCTAGGCCTTTCCCAGATGATCCTTCAAAACTTAACAGTCTCCTTTTACTCTGCAGAACACTGAGGCAGAAAGCTATTTTTTTTTGTTTGAAAGACAGATGACAAATTAAGGCCTACAATCAAGAAGCCAGCATCTACGTGCAGTAGTACACACCAGTAATCCTAATGCTTGGGAAGCAGAGGCATGAAGGTCATGAGTTAAAGGCTAGCCTGGGCTATATTGTTGTGGAATATTACTTTAAGATGTGTCACATTTGTTTATGCTGTGGAACATTTGTTTTAATAATGCAAAGATGTGTTGCAATTCTTCAATGCTGCTTTTGTTTAACTCTGTGAAGCTGTGTTACTGTGCCTGTCTAAAATACCTGATGGTCGAATAAAGAGCTGAACAGCTGACTGCTGGGCAGAGAGAAAGGACAAGTGGGGCTGGCAGGCAGAGAGAATAAATGGGAAGAGAGATCAAGGAACAAGACGAGGAAGGTGCAAGACAAGAAGGAGTCAGCCACTCAGCCACCCAGCCACCCAGCCACCCTGCCACCCAGCCATACATGAAATAATACAGAAAGAAAAGATACACAGAAATAGAGAAATGTAAAAGCCCGGAGGCAAAATGTAGATGGGATGATTTAAGTTGCGAAAAGCTGGCTAGCTAAGGTCGAGCATTTATAAGTAAGAACAAGCCTCCGTGTGTGTGTGTGTGTGTGTGTGTGTGTGTGTGTGTGTGTGTGTGTGTAGCTAGGTGGCAGGCCTCCAAAAGAACTAAAGAGCAAAAGAATAAAAGAGTAAAACACCCAACAACACTACATATTAACTCTCAGTCATAAAGCAAAAACAAAAAATCCAATAATAATAATGATGATGATGCAGAAAGATCCAAGACATGTGAGAAGACATGACTGGAAACTCACATCTCCCAGGGTTCTAGCTGCTTCCTGTCCACAATAAAGGAAAATAGGGTTTGGGATATACAGCATACTGACACGTGATGAAGTGTTTTTAAGGGAAGAAAATAAAGTCATGGAGCCCGAACACAGTCTTCATTTTCTCACACTAATGGACGTCCACAGAAAAAGCCTGTTACATTAAGGAGCCAAACAGGGTTCATTTGCTGGAGGTTGGATTCTAAGGTTAGAAATTCAGTATTAAGAACTGTGGCCTTTACTAAGCAGAAACTGTTCTTTTCTTTCTTTCTTTTTTTTTTTCATTTATCTGTCATCGTGTTTGTTTTTGTTTAATTCTGGAAGGCATTCTTGAGCATAACTTTCTGACGAAAGTTAATCTTGAAGCAGTGTCTAAGGAAACCTAGAATAAGTGATTGAAAGAAAGATAGAAATCTAATTTATAAATGTTTAGTTAAAAACACAGGACTTACATTCTAAACATCTGTCCTTATACCCACAGATAAGTGTAGTCCTTATCCCTCATCAAGGAAGCTTCTCTTTGCAACAAACAGAGACCATTACAGAAAATCACAACCCATCAAAATGCAGAGCTGTGGAGCCCAGATCCAGTGAATACATATATAAAACAACTCCCAAACTAAGGCTCAGGAAATGTGGAGGAAAGGGGGGGAAGAAGAATTTTAAGAGCCAGAGAATCAAGGAGTTTGCTGTGAGACTGTGTCTCTTATGGATGTCTGAAGCCTCAAGTCTCACCAACATGACGATCTAAACATGACCTGAACAAGGACAACAATAAACTTGGCAAAGTGGACTGGAGAAAGACCACAGGGCCTCAACCCTACAAAAAGAACTACAGGCGACCAAGGAATTCTGGGAGTGGGAGAAACAGTCCTCCCCAAAGGTCAGCCTTGAAAACATAGACATACAAGTAACATTATGTAGATTGAGCAGGTTACACTTAGGAATATATATGTATATACATGTATATATACATTTGTAACAACAATGAAAAAAAGGACATAAATTTGAAAGAGAGAAAGGAGGGGTATGTGGGAGGGTTTAGAGAGATGAAAGGGAAGTAGAATTACATTATAATCTCAAAAAATAAAAGAAATAATTTTTGAAGTGAGTAAAAACAGAGAAGGCTGGACTAGAGAGATGGTTCAATAGTTAAGAGCACTGGCTGCTCTTCCAGAGAACCCAGGTTCAATGCCCAATACCCATATGATGGCTCTCAACCCTCTGTAACTTCAGTTCCAGGGGATTCACCACCCTATTCTGGCCTCCAAGGACATCAGGCACCCACAAAGTGCACAGATATGCATGCAGGCAAAATACCAATACACATAAAATAATCATTTTATAAAAACTTGAAAACAGAGGAGGAGCCATGCACACTGACTACTGCATGCCTATGATCCAAGAACTTGTGGTTGAGGCAGGAGAATCACGAGTTTGGGGCCAGCCTGGGCTACTCGGTGAAACCAGAAATGAAGGGTGAAAAAATGAGTGGAAAAGGAAGGAGGGTGGAAGGATCCCAATGCTGCAGGACAGCAAAGAGAGGCTCTTGAGATGAAGCGGACATTGTAGGAAGGAGGTAACACACATAACCCCAGGGTGCAGAGACCAGGGAACAGGTGAAATGTTCAGCAAAGACAGAAAAACAAAGCGCAGAGCAGACAGCCCCTTGCAGATATTTCCTCTAGAAGCCAGTGGAGCTCTGAAAGCTTTTTTGGCCCTGTGAATGGCATTTTGGACATGTGATCAGAAGACCCTGGGCTAGACTCCAACACCCAAGGACTATATGCAGGCCCCTCCCTCTGTCTACCATTAGAAGGCCTCAAGCTTGCCGGGCACTTCTGGATCCCAGCACACTCTCTTTCATCAGATGGAAGCTTTGGCTCCCCTGGGCTGCCCCTTCAGACCTGCAGCTAGGAAGCCACCTGAGATATGGGCTTCTACAAAGTGACTACAATAACGACCCCATCAAAGTAGAAGCAGTTACACTCCAGAACTCTGTCAGGAGAGGTTAGATACTTATGGAGGAGGGGGTACTCACCCATGTCCAAATGAAAAATTGCTTAAAACTGCTCTAAAGCTCTAGCTAAATGAATTTTTAAAGAACGGTTTTCGCAAAGTCGAAGCCTGGGTGTGATGAGATACAGTATCCAAAGTACACCTGGTAGCTTCATTTACGTCCCACACAATTCTGGCTCCCACCAGTCTCTCAACACAGTAAACAGGGAGGCAAGCAAGAAAACAGCCCTTTTTTTTTTTAACTCTGCAGGGCATATATTTATAATTACTAGTGTATGATGCTAACTTTAAAACCATTTGGCCAAACCAATGGCTGCAGCTCATTAGCAATCATATATATCATCATGAAATCCATAATAATGATAAATAATCCCCAGTAAATGAATACATATATAATTACATGCCATTTTGAGAATCTAAAACCTAGACCTGAAAAAAAAAACTGTAGGTAATCAAAACTTAATGAACATAAGGTAGACTGGAAAAGGATGATACGTCTTTTATGAGAAATGAATTATATCCCGTAGATATTCAGCCAACCTTTACAATCAAATGTGGGGGTGAGAAACAGTTTGTCAATAAAGACGGGTGGGGTGGAGCTGTGTCTGCTCTGCCAGCACCGACATAAAAACTCCAGGCACAGTGGGGGCACACCCGTAACCCTGGGATTGGCTAGCACCGGGGTAAGGGCATGGCAAGTGCCTCCCTGGAGCCCACTGGCCGACCAGTCGAGAAGAGCCAGCTTCGGGTGCCGTGAAAGATCTGTCTCAAGAAAACCAGTGGAGAGAAACTGAGGAGAGAGCCTTGCCATCGTTCTCCAGCTCCACAAGCACATACACACTCGCGAATACTATTCCATACACACACCACATGCTTTTATTTCATCATCTCAAACTAGGCTTTAAAACTGACTATCACTCTTTTGGAAAGACCCAAAGGAAATTAATACAGCTATTTCATGTCTCCAGTATTTAAACCTTGCCAGCATTCATAGTGTCTAACCTCTTGGGGGGGGTCAAAAAAAATAAATAAAAGCTGCTGCATGCAAAACGGAAACCATGAGCGCTCCACGCTGTTTCCTCACCCAAACACGCAACAGCAACCTGAGGTAAACCAGAAAGAAGACGCATTGCCCGAGCGGTGATGATCGGATCATCTTTAAAGTGCAAGCCAGAGTGTGTGAGAACCTTCTTCTAGTTTCTTTATGGTTTTCATTTCTAACTGGGGTGATGATCCTTCACGGTGATGGCAGTGAATGGAGCTTACCTTCTTGGCTCTCTGGGCTATGTCTGGCGTTCTCGTCAGCAACTTCTCAATCAGGTACTCTCTATTCTGCAAAACAAATAACCCCAAAACAGTTTAACACCTAGTCAGATGCCGGAAAACTCACAGAAATTTCAAAACAGCAGATTGAGTTGGGGGGTTTTAAGCATGTTACCTTGGCTTTCTGGAAGAATTTGCATTTTAAAAGTTCTGCTGCTGTGGGCCTGAAAGATCAATAATAAATTAGAGTTGAAACAACCACCACATAATAAATATACTGCCTTGATGCTACAGCTTAACCTTAGAGCATTTCTGGAAGACTGACCTTAGGGTGAGCAAAACCAATAACGAAGTTAATCACAAGCTGGCACCAAATAAAGCAGTGTCTGTTTTCTAGATATTTCTAAATCCCTCTACTGCAAAGCACATCAGCTCTTGTGAGTTAATATTTAGGCACATCAATTTTCCAGCCTCCACTCTTATACTTCAGTGTGTCAACTTGGAAGATTCTGAAGGTTAGCAGACCAACCTCTGGGAGCTGAATTCCTATGTTTGTAAGAAGCCATACAACTACAATAGAACCCTGTTGTCAAAGGAACTCCACAGTCCGCCATGTTCTGTGAATCTCAAGGAGTAGCCATTACTGAAAAGGGCTCACAGAGAGATCTTATGTGCCACTCAGTCTCCATAGTATTGAAATGACTGCTTCAGTGAATACAGACCGCTGTTTTTCAAAAGAAAAAAAAAATCAAATGGCACGGTGATTAATAAAATGCAAATTCACGTAAAAGCATTTCTGGATCTACTTCCCTGTGGTATCATATAACTTGTAACTTATGCTGGATATCCCATAAACTCCAAGTTAGGTCCAGAAGGCTCAAAATGGTTTCATCACACATCTGAATGCTAGCAAGACTGCTCATAAAGTTACACATGCAGAAACATTTCAGACTGCAGATTTTGGACAGGGGACACGTAAGTGGTAGAGTCTGTAAATACTCCGAAGTTCAGAAGACTCTGAAATTCAAAATGCATTTTAGATCTGGCCTCCTCAAGCTGTGCTTTCACAGACACTGCCATGAACTCCTCAGTGCAGCCCCACAGAAGCGGCAACCATTAAAATGGCTAGTCCACTATTAGAGATGCTAAGTTTAACTGATTGGTTCCCAGGCTCCAAAGCTCAGCATCGGAAGTTCTGCTTTCCCCACTACCAATAGCCAGTGTCCTGTTGAGTGATGTCTTGGCACTGTATGGGTATCCTGTTGCTGCAAACCTTCCCCTGTGGTTTACCATCTTGGACTTAAATGTTTCATGGGAAGTAGCTGAACATTGATTTCCTACTTTTAGCATTCTTTCTATGTTCAACTGACAATCGTCCATAAAGAATAGCTTCCTTTGTCAATAATTCCTTAATTAGGAATCCATTTCACATCAGCTTTCTCTATCTGTATCTATAAAAGAGGGGGAAAAGAGGGGAAAGCTGCCCTAATGCCCATCCGTGTAAGCTGGAGATGAAGGTCAATGGAAGAGCACTTGCCAAACATCCGAAAGGCTAAGTCTTACATTAAGAAAAGGAAAGACGGGAGGTGGGAGGGGAAGGAAGGAGGGAGGGGGAGGGAGGAGGGGCAGAGGGAGGGTAGGTTGTCAGATAATCTGCTGGCTGATGAGTCCCTCATCTTCCAAGAGGAAACAGCAGGAGAGAAAGGAAAGTGCTCTAGATCAAAACAGACTTAAAACTATAAAGTCCAGTGCAGCTCGCTGCCCTGGAGTGAACACCGGGTTTGAAAGAAAGTAGTAAAAAATCACAAAAGACATTTAGAAATAGATCTGCAAATTCACGACATAGAAGACACCTGTAAAAACAGCACTCATGTTCTGAGTGTGGGAAAACACCATCACTATGTGGAAGCACGCATGACCTTCAGAAGGAACATGCAGTGTTTCTTTCGAATAATTCAGTAAATAAAATGTGCACATACAGAGGATGGGAGATGCTAATAACGATTGGACGGGTGAGACTGAAGTAAACCTGGGGCTATTGCTCACATTTTCTTATGCTTTTACATTTTTATAACAGTACATTGAAAGGGAGAAGAAAGCATCATGGGACATTACGATTCTCAAAAGCTAGCTAGAGTACAAAGAGAATTATAATGAGGTGAGGGTATGAGTTTAGACATTTTCCTTGTGTCTAAAATGATAGGAAGCTATGGAACTGAGAGGCTTCACCAAGGCGCCTACTGAGTCCAAGCTCCAGAAGAATTGGAGAATTTCAGCAAACATATGTGTGTGCCACCTACCTAAGTCTACAGACCCATAAACTGTATTTCTGTGCAAGGAAGATTTTTATTCTCATTGTTACCACTTCCTTCAAATCGGTGATGGCGCACGCCTTTAATCCCAGCACTCAGGAGGCAGAGCCAGGTGGATATCTGTGAGTTCAAGGCCAGCCTGGGTTACAAAGTGAGTTCCAGGAAAGGCTCCAAAGCTACACAGAGAAACCCTGTCTCAAAAAACCAAAAAAAAAAAAAAAGAATATTAGGTACCCTCAAAGAAGTCCAAGGCATACATCTAATGCATCTACTACAACAGTTGATAATTGATAACTGCTTTGAGTAAATAAGGGTCTAAATGACAGGAGGGCCATATACCTTGGTATTAATGCATTAAATGCACGAGTTCACATCTTGTTCAAAAACCAAAGCACCTGGAGTTGAAAAAGGACCTAGCCATTTTGCATGATGCATCGGTTCCTGTTTTGCTGAATGTTCGTCTTGCTCATCAGCCTGTGTTACCAATCCTCAGAGGAGCAGGCTCCTGAAAACAACTAAATCAAGCTCTGTGATCCGAAATTATCCAAGGCTGTCTCCATCAATCTTAAACACTTTTGCCTTCAACTATGATGGTGCTCTCATGTGTCTCTTCTTCGCTCATGACAGAGCATACCCTGCTCTTCTTGAAAATGATTCTTCAAAATGTTTCATGACCAACTAGGCCACCTTGCACCTAAGTTAAGAAACGACTTTGATGTCAACATCTTTTGGAACTTTCTCCCAGCATCTATGAGAAGAATTCATCACTTCCAACTTGGTGCTCGGGAATTGCGCTTTCCCACTCTCCTGTCTTTATCTCAATCTGTGATCCCTCTCTGGTAGCTCCACTTTATCGTGTTATGAGCCCTTCTGAGGCAAAGAGCCTGTAGATTTCATTTTTATATTCGCTCGCCCAGCACAGACCGGCAAACTCCCATATCTCAATTTCACACCCCAGCAGGAAGTGAAAGTGATGCTGGTAAACACTGGCGCTGGGACTGTCACTCCCGTGGCTAAGTTTAGCCAGCACTGAAGCATCTGCTGGACACAGGGAGGAGGAGAGGGAAACGCAATAAAAACGGGGCTCACGCTAGCAAGACCAAGAGTGGGGACAGCACAGGTGCCGAGGTGGGGAGCCAGAACGATTTTCCTTTTTCTCAGCGACCCCCTCACTCTCCCTCTGCATGGCAAAGGTCAGATGTTAAGCGAAGGTAGAGAGAAGGCTGTGGAATGCTGGGCTGACCTTGAGAAACGGGACTGGAAAAATTCTTCCCCTTCCAGAGAAAGGTCATTTCTATGACAACCAAAAGATGCAAAGGGGAAAAGCATATTGCAGAGAAAAAAACCTTTTCTCTCCACTCCTCTCCATCCTTATCCTTCACAAACCATAAGGTGTGGGGGGGAAACGGCTTTAAAAGCCCACATTCTTCTTTAGGTTTGTTTTGTTTTGTTTGGGGGGGTTGTTTTTAATAGGCACTCTAATTCAATATAGTGAACAATTCAACAGCGGGTCACTGGGTCCTTTTGCACTGAAGTCAGCTCAAGTGTTCACAGCTTTGGGGTAAAACCCCACGTGTGCCAAGTTACCTCCACGGGAAAGAAGGGGAAAGGGGTCCTAAAGAAATGAGGAAGATGAAGAAAGGATGAGACCAGCAGAGGTGCCTGGCGCCCGTCTGAACTTAGCTTTGCATGCCTGGTTATTTATTTACTGTCATTTTATGCAACAGAAACCACCGCTATGTACTTACTGTGGAGCCATCAACCCTGCCTATCTTTCAGCTGAGTTCTACTGGAGCAGGGGATCTTCCCGGTCACCTCTCACATGCCTGCTGACCACCGCCCAGCAATGAAACAGGTAATAGAAATAGAAACACTGTTTCACAAGAAATGCTCAAGTGCCAGTACCTGAACTAGTCCAGGCTGTCAATGATGACAGAATCTGAAGTCCTTAAAAAATGATACAGTATTCTGCAAGTACCAATGTTCTCAAAAGAAAACCCGCTCAGTGGATTCATCTGATATATATGGATGGACCGAAGTCCACTGAGACTTAAAATGAATCTCAAAGGCTTCGGGATGAGTATTACCCAGTTTAAACAGCTCTAACAGCATGCTTTAATAAATTCTAAGAGCTTACTGACCTCAGGAAGAACTGTTTTGCACAGCTCTCCCTCCCTTGGTAAAGTGATATTCCAGTCTAACTCATCGCTGACACACTCATCTGTGCAACATCTACCCGCTTAGTGCTCAAAGTGAATGCTCGCTCTTCTTATAGGTTGCCACCGTTGGGAAATCGGTAATCGGTAAGATCAAGGCTCATTTTATTAGGAAATAGCAAGACATTCTGCTATGCAAATACAGGCAACTCTGTCGGAGCTAATGCAAAGCGTGAACCCCCCCACGGGGGATGGGGCTCCTACATGTCAGGTCGATGTCGCCAGGGAAGCACAGGGCCTGGCATGCGAGCGCAGGAGTGACTCTGTCCTGGGTATTCTGCCACTGTGTCTGTCCCTGGCTGCTTCAGTCTCCTCACAGCGCTAGAGCTTGGGTGCCTACAAACTGTGCTGAGATTACAGGGAGAGGAGTTACATTCAGACAACACATATATACAAAGATTATCCAAGTTTTCCTTCAACTCCTTATCCCACTGGAATCTGCTTTCTCTTCCTGAAATTCTCTTCAGAGGATTGAAATCACCTCCAAACTGCAAACTCCCATGAGTCTCCAGATATAGAGATGAGTGCACAAGTCCTTCTAAAGTTTTGAATTTGTTGTGTAAGTCTGTGGTGATATCGTGTTCCCCAAAATATTGTGCAACCTAATACACTTATCTGGGGTCAGAGAACAGAACAGCCACTAGATATGAAGGCCAGAAAATGGTGGCACACACGCCTTTAATCCTAGCATTCCAGAGGCAGAGATTCTTCTGGATCTCTGTGAGTTCAAAGCCACACTCGAATCAGCCAGGCGTGGTGACAAGAGCCTTTAATCCCAGTACCAACCATAGAGGCCTGGAGGTCTGTATAGACAGGCAGTGATGAGGAAGTCATGTGGCTGGGCTGAGAGCCAATGAGAAGGCAGGAAGCAGAAAGGTATATAAGGCATGAGGACCAGGAACTAAAGGTGGTTAAGCTTTTAGGCTTTTGAGCAGCAGTTCAGCTGAGATTCATTCCGGATGAGGGCACAGAGGCTTCCAGTCTGAGGAAACAGGATCAGCTGAGGAATTGGTGAGGTGAGGTTCTGATCTTCCAGCATTCACCCCAATAACTGGCACCAGGTTTGTTTTTATTAATAAGACCTTTTAAGATTCGTGCTATCTAAGTCAACCAAAGTATACAGTGTAATAGTGCTAAAAACTTAAACAGACAGAGCACCAGCATACTGCCATTAGTCTGTAAGACCTCAGCAATTCTCCCTGCCAGGGTGGAGGCAAATGATGAATGCCAGTCTCTATTTCCAGAGCTCTGAAGCAGGCCCCAGGCCCGCCGCTGCCTGCCTCGAGTGCCATTTCCCTGCATCCTCAGAGCAATCCTTTGATTGCTAGACCCATCATACAGACAAAGAAATTAAGTCACAAGAATGAGGATGAAATAGAGCTAGGAATCCCATCCAGTGTTGAAAAAACAGCAGGAAGAGAATGGAAAGGGGGTAAAAAAAAAAATACTGGAAAATCTTAAACAGCATGAACAGAGCAGAAGGGCAGATGGGACTAACATCACTCTGGAACAGTCATTGCTTCAGAAGTCCGTCATGGGCACAGAGGCTCGTTTGTATATTTCACACTGCATGTGTTTTTAATTACATGTTATATAAAAATAGATTCCACAGTATACTGCTCCCCGTCCTCACAATCCCCGATGACTTTTCACGTGTTTGGTTTTGCTTTTCCCAAACTCCTCACATACATCTTCCATGTCCATGTCTTTTCGGTAGAAAAGCGAGCCGCTGGAGAAGTGGGTGGGGAACGATCAGTCTGCAACTCTTCTAACAGAACAGCTGCAGTTATGATGACGACCACAAAGTAATAGGGAAAGCACTTGGAGGGCCTTCAACTACTCACACAGGCCGGCCAGCGCAGAGCGAGTGCTCTGCGGGAAAGGCTTCATGCACAGAGGAATACGTCAGGGTGTGGCTGCCTCCTCACGGACCTGTCTCTGCATCCCCTCCCTCTGTCACTGTTTCACGGACACACACATAGGGGGAATCTGGTGTCAGAACCCACACAGAGAATAAAACCTGGAAAAGCCTTTTAGTTTATTAAGAAACAAAAAGGGTCAGTTAAACACGCTGCACATAAATCTAAATTATTTTTGACCAGCTCACAAACCTGTCACTAACGGCACTAACAACTCTACCCTAAGGAATGGGTTTTTCTGAGTTGTGTGACATTACTCATCGCAGCCACTAGATGGATCTCAACTTGTTCCAGAATCCCAAAGATTGTCAGTGAAGTCCCAGAACTAACCAGAAACACAAAGACAGCTCTCCCCGGGTGTGGGTGAGAGCTCTACCAATTCTCTGTAATGACAAAATCTGCCTTGTGATAATAACACTAGATACAGTGGAAGGGGAAGCAGATGCTGAAGAACAAAATTAAAATCTAAGGGCATTCTCACCAAAAGGAGGGTGGAAAAGTAACCCCAGGGAAAGATCAGGAGCAGATGGGGGAGTGGGGAGGGATAATCACTATAAATCAAACATAACAACAAGAGAAATGTCAAGCACGGCCTGTAGGTATTGTTTGCAAAAAAAAATAATTTAAAGATTTGCAATAGCAAATAGTCACAAAATATATATATATATATATATATATATATATATATATATATATATATATATATATATATAACTGTGCCTAAGCCAAAGAAGCATGGCCTAACTCAGAGTAATACTATTTAAAAAAAAGTTAAAAACTATAATAAGTTGCATAAAGAATTTACCACTAGAATACCACAATGCCTTCTAACAATAGGGTTCCATCCCTGAATGGGAGACTTCCAGAAGAAGTTATTATTTTTCTTTAAGCTAAGTAGAAAACCAGTGTTTGGTGAACTATGATATACAGAGGACTTTCTAGGTCTGTTGGGGAAATGGCATACACAGCCAGGTCTCTTACAAGGAGCAAGGATTGTCTGTGATTTGCATCACTGAAATTCTCCTTTAAGTGATAAAGGACTCAGTGTTCCATTGTCCATGCCAGGGTATTTCAAAGTCTCAGGATATAAAAGGAAGAAAGAGATTTAAAAGAAAAAAAAAAAGAGCTGTATCAATACAGGGCAGTAACATAAGAACATGGAGGAAACATTAAGTTAATTTAAAGCCTGCTTCCGTTTACATGATTAATCTTTCTAGGTAAGCTTTTCCCTGCTGATAGTCTTTTAAACAGCCCACACAACTTGTTCTGCAACTAAAAGGAAGCTCATGCAAAATTCACTAACCCGGGCTGGTTCAGACTGGAGCTAGCCGGATGTTGGGATCCTGAAAGGTCAGCTCAACCTACAGCATGCAGGATATTAGCTCAGCATCCCTCATCGCTATCAATGCCTTCTGATTTCTGCTTTGTTCCTTTTCTTTGGTGAGAGTTGCCTACACCTAGCAAGCAAGATCAATTCTTCCCTCTCCTCCCCCCTTGTCCTACACTAGCTTCTCTCCCCACAGACTGTATTTCCCTAACAGCAACCAGGGGCCAGAGTAAGGCATCCTTTTCACATCCACAAGCACAGCTTGGTCAGGACTCAAACCAGGTCATTAGGTCCCGAAGTGGGTCCAACATACCTTTTGGAAGGATCTTTCTGAAGACACAGTGAAAGTAACTTTCTGAAGGACTTGCCATATTTTTTCATCATTTCTTTATCCTCTACTCCAGTTTCTAAAGTGGGTGGGTCATTTTGCAAAGTCAGCATCAGCACCTGCAGCCAAAGAAAGGAGACAGTCTCTGTTGGGTATGAGTGACAACGGAATGGTCAGCTTTTTCTGTCACAAAAGCATCCAAGTCCTTCCTTGACTGGGTTACCAGCATGCTTGTCCCATAATTAATGGTCCTAAACTTGAGTTACTGAAAGGATCCATCTGTCTTTGCAAATCTGCCCACGCACTCCTGAACCTTGGATATTCTCATCGACAGAACTTGGGAAATGTGCTCTATGTGTTAAGAATGGTCTCTCAAAGCCACAGGGAAAGACTTCTGGGAAGTGGCTCTCACAGGACCTCAGGGAACACTTGCTACAGTGCAGGCTGGTTGGGAAAGAGCCCTGGTTGGGAGGGAAAAGGACATTCAAGTGTGAAGGCCATTCATAAGTACAGAACCCGCTGTACTCAGGGCTGCTGAAACATATTAGCAACCCTAAAAATAAAACCCCAGTATCCCTGGAGGTAACATGATTTTTCTCTTAAAGAGAAAACAATATGAGAACATTGTTAAAGGGGCTTGGTGAAAATTCAAAGACTAAGATACTGATGATGGTCATGACAGAATCAGGAGTTACCAAAGACTATATATAATCCTATCAAAAGCCTGTGCCACATGGCAAGGGGCAAAGCAAACTACAGTTTCAAATAAAAAGGAACTAATTCAACTCCTCCACACTGGGAGAATTATTTACTGTAAAAGCAAGCAGAGCGAGTACATCGCATACTATTGACCTACAAATTGAATAAGCCTCCTCAATGCATAAATCAGCCCTAATTTATGCCGATTCTACGCATGTCAAGACTCCTTTCAAACACTTTGAGACATGTGAATAGAGGAATGATAAAAGTAACTGTTGCTGTTGGAGTACAACAGCCCAGAGGAGAGTGTGGGTTACCGTGAACTCCTGAAAAAGTCCTGGAGGACTTCAAGCTGGGACCAACAACGGCCTCTCTAGAATCAGGTGGAAAAAGTAAATGGAAACAGGGAGGCAAAGAAACATAAATAGAAAAAGATAAATATGAAAAAAAAAACAGATAAAAGAAACTTCTCTGAATTACTCTAGTATTTTTTCCATAAAATCTCTTCTATGGTTAATACTTGTTTCAAATTTTCCACTACAAAAAAAAGTCAGAGAGATAGAGATGTGCATATAGGCATTAAGTATATCATTGACATCTTAACTGTATTAAACATTTATGCAAAAGCAGAACATGTAGGGGTGTGGCTCAGCAGCACTGTATGCTCAGAACAGGTGAAGTCCTGGGCACAATCGTAAAAAAACAATTTAAAAGAAAAATAAGAAATTAACACCACTAAAACATTAGCAGAGACTATTTGTGGGTAGTGAAATCATGGGTGATTATTCCCCCTTGCTCTTCTTATTTGTACTTCCAAGTTTTCTACAATAAGAAAGTACATTTGGGAGGCCGAGGCTGGAAACAACCAGGGCATCAAATGGAACCTCACATTCCCTGAGCAAGTGCTCTGTCCCTGAGCTCTCCCCGTGGCCCAGCTTAAACCAGTATAACTGGGGAACCTTTCTGCCCTCAGATTTTAATTCTGATAGGTTCTCTAAAAATTAAAATATGAAAAACAAAACAAGCACAGACTAGAGTTTTGATGAAATGTCTTCATCATTTCCACTGAACAACTGCAGCCTCAGAACAAAATCTGGCTGGGGGAATTCAAAATGCTGTTACCATCTCAGAGGTTGAGCAGATAGAAAAATAACAAAAACCTGAAAATAGTACCCAAAGTATATGTTGCTTCAAAACACTGTGACTCACTCACATCAGATGAGCCACAACACCACACTCTGTGAGCAGGCTGAAAATGGTATAGACTATCTTTATTTATAAAGAAGAAGAAGAAGAAAAAAAAGGGGGGGGCGGGCATCCTGAAATCCATCTGCAAATATAACAGCCCTCTAATACAGTCTTAGATTTTGTTGGGAGACCTGAGATTGTCCTGCTCTTTCAGAGTCAGTAGTCAAAACTACGGATCTGTTCAACTCTGTACTCAGTCACAAAGCAGGCCACCGCACCACCTCTGTTAATTTGGGGCATGAGAACATGAGTCAGCCTTCAACTTGGCTGCATTCCTCCACTAACTCCCACAAGTCTAAGAGGAAAATAAGCATGTTCAAGAGAACCAGAGAACCCATGCACCCCCATCGCAGTTCCAAGTCACCCCAGCAGTCATTACTTTCATTGGAGGGTATTTGTGATAGGGCGCGGCTCCAGTCGCTAGTTCAATGGCAGTTATTCCGAAACTCCACATGTCAGCCTTGAAGTCATAGCCTCTGACCTAAGAGGAAAAAGATCAAGAAAAAACACTCACGATGATGTAGCAGGCTTGCTGCACATCACTACATTCATTATTAGGTCAAATATCCAAAGTTAAACATAGAGAAATTTCAATGGAATTTGCTAAGGGCTCACTAGCAATCCGGAATTGAAATCTAAGTTGTGTGATATATTCTACTGTGGTGACTGACTGAAAAGAAATGTTATATCTACAGTACATTAGACTTGTGCTATGTTAGATTAATTAGACATACACTATGTAGATATATCCATGATATATATTACTGTACTATAATAATCAAGGCAACATTTTTTTACCTGTTCCATGACTTCAGGAGCCATCCAACATGGGGTACCAACAAATGTTTTTCTCACTTTATTCCGTGTAACATCACCCCCTGTTGCTAAGAATGCACTTACTCCGAAATCTGGAAAGAAAAAAAAAATCAACGTTATTTTATGTTCTGTATGGCGTATAAATTCTGATCTCCATCCCATCTCTCCCTGAGGGATCTTAGGATGTTGACAAATAGCTGCAAACACGCGTGTTCATGAAATAAGCCAGGGTTTTCCTGTCATCTGCCATCAGCTATCATCTATACTGCAGAAATGCTGTTGGGGGTAATGGGCCAGCCTGTTCCCCATACTTGCTTTCTACTAAAAAGGTACCAAAAGTCACTGCTATTTTTAAAAATACAATACCATTGAAAGCATAAACACATTTCAAAAGCCCTGAATATAAAATATCTTGGCTTTCATCTAAGTTTTTTTTTGTTAATCACTAACAAGAATACAACTGGAAAAAGTAAGAGTAGAATGTAATAGAGTTATTTTTATATTTTTGTTGTGATTTTCCTAGTCCATTTAATTCCAAGTATCAATGTCCAAAAGTTAATTTTTTTAAAGAAAAAAAAAAAAGAATCCACTCCATATCGTGTCCTAGACTAAGCAGTATATACTAATACCTTGAGCAAAATCATAAAAGCAAACCCACATACAAATTACACAAAACTCAAAGCAGGCCTCGTTTTGCCCTTCCTTATGCAACGACCACACAAAGGAAAGGCTGAGTCAGCAAAGAGTGGGTCTTTCCCAGGGTTTGCTTCCTGGATCACTTTCGTAAGTGTGGATGGAATGGTATGTAGAATTAAAATAATCTCTCACTTTATTCCATTGATTACTGTGTGTGGACATGAGTGGATGTGTCTTCGTACATTCATGCATGTGCATGCACATGAGTGTATCAATGTAGGGTATGGTGTGCTTGTGGAGATCGGAGGACGATTTCCAGGAGTTGGCTCTCTCTCCACCAACTGAGGCTCTGTCTCTCTCGCTGTGTCTGCGGTGCTGCTGCCTAAGGCAGGCTAGCTGGCTCACCAAGGTGCGGGGTTTTCTCCACCTCCCACTCCGCCATGGGCTCACTGGGATTACTACTGACACACGCTAGCATATCAGGCTCTTATACATGAGTTCGAGGGATCGAATTCAGGTCCTTCAGGCTTGTGTGGCAAGCACTTCTACCCACTGATCCATCTCACTGGCCAGAAACACAATACTCCTCCTAATACTCATCATCTACTAGGAATTCGGTACGTGAGCTTAATTTGGTATACTCCACATGCATATAGACAAATATGCAAAACTAATTTCCATAATGGACAGTGCTGAACAGCTACTGCTTATTACTGCACACATCCTCGTTTATATGTTTGCATGTAGAGTAAAAGTAGTTTATGAATTAAAGAACCTGCTGCTCTGGACTAAGCTACTTCTTGGTAACAGCCATGACAAGTATCCCCTGGAGAGTGAAATAGTAGACAGAAAGGTCAGGGTGCACTGGTGTGTGCCTTTAATCTCAACACTTGGGAGGCAAAGGCCACCCAGGGCTACATAGCAAGTCCCAGGCCAGCCAGGGTTACATAGGAAGACCTTGCCTTCCCAAAAGCAGGGAGGTTAGCCAACAGACAGCACAATGTAGGATACTACGCAGAATGATTGTTGCAATACTGCTCTGGTATCATTCCCTTTTGATGGTCCCCTTTGTTGACTGTCGGGAGGCACGCAGTTACAAAGAACATCCGCCAGCACAAAGCGACACCCAAAGCATATGGGGGTCTGCTTTAGATCTGCAGCGCAGCTACGCACAGGTGTGATTTAGTAGCCCTGCGACTGGTCCCGCAAGTGGAAATATGCTGACTTTGTTTACAGTTAAACATATTCAACTCCCAACAGGACATCAGTTACAAGTAAAGGAAATGGAAACGGAAAGACGGCATCTCTGGTCCGCATGCTCCTTGCATGTTAGTATCAAACAAAGGTTTTATTTGAAAATGCCATACAATTGCATTCGCATGTGTGGCTCCTGCTCTGAAATTCTTTGAATGTCTGTACTGCAGGAGCTCGCAGAGGAGTCACGTGAACTGTCACGTGACTACTACCCATGGCTAGAGGCTGTGACTATTCTAAGGCTTTTAAAAATATAAATTTCAGTTTTATTTGTATTTCCCAAATGAAAGTTGAAGAAAGAAATCAACATTCTATTTTTATTAAAATGATCTTACAATATGATAACATTAAATAAATATATAATATCTATAAATAATGACGTGTACAAAGTCCACTTTGAGGGAAAATTAAATTCTTACACTGAAGGCGCTTAAAAGATGTGAGCCAACTAAACTATAGCTATTACTTTTCAATTCCTCAAAATTCTACCTGCTTACAGGATACATTTGAAAAGCTGGAAAAACAGCTGAGAAAGATACATAGTAGCAATTAAACATTGATAATGTATCTTCCATGAATCACATGAGTCACATACTTATTCACAGCCTCAGCTCAGAACATCTACTTTAAAGTCAGAAACAGATGGCTAAATGTCTTTAGAGCTCAGGAAAAAAAAAATTCCAGAAGCAGAAAACACCCATGCCAACATCCACTCTCCATTACAACTGCAGAATAGTTACGTTTTGCTTCCATGTATGGCTAATATGTACACAGACCATTTTATCTGTTCTGAGGAACAGAGCCTTTGACAAAAGAACATAGTGTACTTATGCAAACAGGAGCACCGGTATACTCTGTTCCGTTCAGACAGTATTCATGTGACAGTGAGAACAAATGTGGGGGGCGGGGAGTGGGAAGCCAGGTTTTCCTAGGGGCACCTGCATACAACTGAAGGGGCTGGGTCAGAAATCATGCACATCTTTCTGGCAACAAAGAATCAAATGCTACACACGAATTCAGCCGGTCCACCTTTGTGCCTCTGTAGGACATGGGTAAAAGCCACTATAGGGGAAAAGGCAGAAAGCACTATCATCTTAGTAAGGAAAGGCTCCCAAATCTTCTGAATCCATTTGCTCCTTCCTTTGTCCACAGTCAGGCCCTCAGTTTAAGCCATTACTTCTTGCTAAGGGTCCTGCGGCAGCCTCCTGAATCCCCCATCTCCTGTTTCCCCTAAGATCCAGGCTTAAGCAAGGAAAGAGGTTTCCCTAGTCGCGGGCCCAAGGCCTCCTTAAAAGCCCGTTAAAGAGACTCTTTCCCCTTAGGATGAAGTCAAACCCCTTTTAGCCTAACACGTGAACATCAGCCCCTTCCTCTCCGGCACCATCGGTCACTGCTCCCAGATCTAACTAGAACCTCCTGCCTCACCAAAGCGTTTCTGCTGATCTCAGTAGCTCCTAGCATTCCCAGAGCTGCCTCCACATGTGATGCTTGTAGTTCACATACAGGGTCTCCCTCCACAGCTCTACTGCAGGCAGAAACAGCAAAGGGCATTCTAGGAGTCCTTAGTGACAGAGGCATCCCTGGCATCTTGATCCTTGGCGATTCCTTTGATCTATGTTCATCAAGCCTGCCTATTCTGTCAAGCATCATTTGTGTGACTTGATCATCATTTGGTCATCCTCCTAGATGGATATATAACGAGAAAGCCTTGAAGAGGATCTGCAGCATTGGAGCTATCTGACTTTGAGACTATCATACACTAAGAGACAGACGGTAGATCGCACGATGTGTGACTCATAACCTTCCTGGACCTCTGTTTTCTTACCAGATTTCTCATTTGGGCCTAGTTTTCTGTTGCTTTCATTGTAGAGCTCTATCCTTCTTTCCCTTCCCATATGTAAATTTTCCTTAGGGTGAATGACAGACAGCTTACTGGTCTCACCTTTTAACAAATAACGTTCAGTGGGCCGTGGGGGAGGGTCAGCATCTGCATCCTTCAGTAGCAGACATGGAGTATGAGTGAGAAAGATCTGCTTATGGATATTAAGATATTACCATCTCAGGAGGAAAGGACCTGAAATAATACACAGCAGCACAATGTGTCTGTGCAGGAGAACACACGAGCGATAACTGTCACCATAGGACAATATCTAAAACGGGCCCTGGACCCGGCCTTGGAAGTGAGGTGAGGAGCTGGACAAGCAAGCTAATGGGAAGCCAATCCCAGACAATGGCACAGTGTGGGCAAAGCCCAAGCTCAGAGCCAAGAAGGAAAAACTGTCTGACAGCTTCGAAGGGTGGGAAAGTCAAGTATCTACAGGGGTGGCAAGAAAACAGCAAGGAGACCAGGTCCTGAGAACCACAGTCCCTGAGACTGGACAGCTGGTGCTCAGCCTTGGTGCTAGGAGGGCTGAGTCCTACAGGGAGCTCTGGCGCTCACTCTCAGCAACCTCCCACCCAGGGCTCCAGCAAGCTTCTGCCACTCAGCTAGAGGAGACGGAAACAGACCTGCTGGGCTCATTTCCCAGAGAAAACAAACACCAGTGTCTTTAAGGAAACGCTTCTTTGTTGTTTTCACTGTTGGCAACAAATGCACCGATTTAAAAAAAGACAGCAAAACAATGGGAAGAGCGATCTCGCCTTTCTGATTTAGTCTGCAAAGCTGGTCTGCCAGTGATGCTGTTATAACGTCTAAAATCGACAGGACAGTGTGATATTCGACTTGTAATACCATAGCCTGGGGGGTCAGCTGGCCTTCTAATGAAGACCCGGGAGGGATCCTGGGAGCCCGTGGTGATCAGAGGCCACTACAAACATTCCTATTCTCTATATCAAAGTTTAGAAAAGTACGAGTCAGGTCAAATGTCAGGGATGTATGATCAGGACGAACAAGTGACCTGTCCGGAAACCTGATGGATGCTGGAAAACAGCTTTTACCGGTGACAATGGAGGGGTTCAGCACAGAAAAGCTGTTAAAGCATTTGAGCTTTTCTTCACCTTGAAAGAAAGAAAAAAAAAAAAGATCCCAGTCTGGCCATATGCAGACTCACACCCCAGTATTCCTGTGTAGATCTGGCTTACTGATGCCAAGTACAAGGCAAGACCTGCCTGTGGATTCTTGGTGTGCCTGCCACAAGAGAACTTCTCATCCACCTACGAGGGATCAAGACCAGGGATTTCCCTAAGCTGACAGGACAGAGTG